CAGGTGCGGGGCCGGCGGTACGGTCGTAGATCCGGACGGTCTGACCGTGTTCGAGGGCTCCATATTCCTGTCGGACAGGGGCAGCAATAACGAGGCGGAGTACGGCGGGCTGGTGATGGTCCTCGATTGGTGCGCTGCGAACGGGGTGACCCACGTGAATGTGTACGGAGACTCATTGCTGGTCGTGAGCCAAGTGAATGGTCGCTGGAAGGTAAAGGCGCCGAACCTGGTGCCGTTGCACGCCGAAGCGAGGCGCCTGAAGTCGTCCTTCCAGTCATGCACTCTGGAGTGGGTGCCACGCAGCAAGAATGCCGCCGCGGATGCCCTCGCGAATGCTGCCTTGATCGCGACGAGCCAGAAATAATCACGGTACTAGGAAGGTGATGGACAACCTCTTCGACCTGCTGCAGCTCATCGAGGAGTCGCGTGTAGAGTACAGCGACTTCGACGACCGCTTCGAGCACGGGATGGCTCTGACTACCAAGGAGGTGGAGACGCTCACGAGCGCGTGGTGCGTGCTGATACAGCGCTGTCAAGAAGTCGTCAAGACGGTGGATCGGCGTTTGGACGGGGTGGAAGAGGCCGTGGTGGCCATCTTAGATCCGCTTCCGGCCGACGATCTCCTCACCACGGCGCTCGTGCCGGACGCCCAGGAATTCGAGCCCGAGCTGAAGGACTTGTTGAGCGTGCAGTCTTCGAACGTGTTGCTGAGACACAGGATCGAATCCTGCAACGACGGGCTTATACGGCGCTTGTCGAGACTCCAGGCCTGCGCCGGACTGGGATCGAAGCATCTATCGCGATTCTGTCCGTGGTCTCACCGCTCGACGTACGAAGGAGCCGTCTTGGACGTCACGGACCTCATGCTTCGATTGTCGGCGTCGTACGGTCTCCAGCTGAGGCTGAACGGGCGGCTGCGAGAGGCGCTCTGCTCTCTCAGCGAGAACATCGGTGGCGTGCTGACCGCCCTGGAGTTGGCGGCCTTCGAGAAGGGCGACGTCGCCTCCGTACTGAAGAGACGGCACGCCATAGTCTGCATCTTGGACTGCAGGGCCTACATCGCTCAGGTGTTGGACGTCTTGGCAGAGTCCTTCAACAAGCTCATCTCCCCCGTCTGAGTCGCGTGGCCCGGCGAAAAAAACCGGCCGCTTATCTTACGAAGGTCTGGCGATGGCGGCCAGGGACGCGAGGCGCACGCCGGCGGATGTTCTGTTTGCCTCGACGAACTTGCCTTTCGAGCCGCCGCGAGTCGAGCTGCGACGGGGTTCCGACTTCGTGCCAACGCGGGAGCCCACGCTGGCGGAGCAACACATCTTCGACGTGCTGCGCACCCAGCCCATCGAGATTCACTTCGCTTTCTTCTGCCGTGACAACATAGAGTCGCTCCAGCGACAGCTGTACTCGAGGGTGCTGCAAAAGACCGGGTACGGGATCGACCGCCAGTCCGACGAGCACATGGTGGCGGCTATGATGCGGGTGTTCGAGGAGAATTGCAGGTATTCTGCGTACGACGTGGCGGAGCAGGTGAGCCAGCTCGATGAGATCGTCCTCGGACAGCTCGTCCCCATGGTGGTCACGAACATAGACATGCAGGTGCGGTATCTGAAAGACATGGCGACCCTTCCCGTGCCGCTCGACCGCGGGCTCGCCACGAGCGCCTTCGGAACTAGCCAATCGGCCCCGCGTAAGCCCGGAGTGTAAAATCCGCATGTGTGGTACGAAATGGACGTCAGGTGGGTCGACCCCAGCAACAGGTACGTGTGCATGGGGGAGCGGATCGGGACGGGGGCCAACAAGTCCGTATTTCGAGCATTCGACCGTCACGAGGGCCGGGAGGTGGCCTGGTGCAAGGCGAGGCTGTCGGGACTGGAGCCTGGAGGGACCGCCGACATCGCCAAAGAGATCGCCGTGATGACGAGCCTGGACCATCCACACATAGTCCGGCTCGTGTCCAGTTGGACGGACGTCCGTGCGGAGGAGATGGTGTTCGTGACCGACCTCTACGGCTCCTCGATCGACGTCTACCTGCGCAAGCACGGAAAGCAAGTGCCCTCGGTCATCAGGAAATGGGCGAAACAGCTGTGCGAGGCGGTCGATTACCTCCACGAGGGACTGCCCAACTCGGTGGCACACAGAGACATCAAAGCGGGGAACGTCTTCGTGAACAACTACACCGGCGACCTCGCCCTGGGCGACCTCGGGTTCGCCACCGTGACCAGCAAATCCAGGTCGAACGCTTCCATCCTGGGGACCGCGGAGTTCATGGCGCCCGAGGTCCTGCGGGGGTCTTACGGGCTGAAGGCGGACGTGTACGCCCTGGGGATGACGATCTTGCAGATCACGACGCTCAAGAAGCCGTACGGGCGGATGAAGTCGGTGAGCGAGCTGTACGTCGAGGTGTTGAACGGCTCCCGTCCGGAGGAGTTGCAATTCGTTCGGAACCGAAACCTGCGGGCCCTCATCGAAGCCTGCATAGGCCCGGAGGAGGATCGTCCTTCCGCTAGGGGTCTCCTCTGCTTGGAGTTCTTTCAGGAGACGGGAGGGGACGTCGAGACGGTGGAAGACCTCGTTGCGACGCCTTCGGCCAACTTCGGTCGTTTCAAGGGTGCCATCGAGCGCTTCTGCTTGCTCAACGAGTCCTTCCGGCCGGCCGACCATCTACGTTGAGGACTCTTCGTCGCCTCAGATAATTTGCCGACTCTCCTATATGCGCCATGGCAGTGCGTTCCTCTCTGATCGTCGGCATCCTCCTCGCCCTCATGACCGCGAAGTCGTGCTCCGGCAGGATTCTCACCGTCCGCAACAACTGCTCGACGGAGGTGACGTGGGCCATCGAGGGCACGTGGGGGCTGCTAGACGCGTCTCCTTCGAGAATTTTAGCCCCCGGCGCCGAATCGTCGCAGATCGTCGTCCCCCATGGATGGGGCGGCCGGATCCGGAACAACTCCACCCAGGATCGAGTCAACACTCTCGCGGAATTCTTCATCGACGACTCGAACGACGACTTTTACGACATCAGCATCGTGGACGGCTTCGACTCCGGCATGCGCATCGTGCCGTCCTCCGACGACTGCCCGACGATCCAGTGCGCGTTCGACGTGGCGGCGTGCCCGGCCGATCTGGTAGAGTACGACGGCGCCCCGTGCCTCAGCGCCTGCAGCAAGTACGCCGCGCCAGAGTTCTGCTGCACCGGGGACCACCGCACGCCCGAGACGTGCCCTGCGAACGAGCTCTCCCTCTACTTCAAGACGCTCTGCCCCGACGCCTACACCTACGCTTTCGACGACCCTACCTCCGTGCGGACGTGCGGATCCGCGCCGTCTTACACCATCACGATGTGCCCATGATGCGTCTCAAACCACGCTATCTGGTGGGGTGCTTCTCGTGGGCCGTATGCACCCGTCCATCCTCACGGCAGGCGCATGCTATGGAGTTCGAGTATCGACCGCCTCAACAGATCTTGGTCATGCCCACCGTCCCAGGTCCCATGTACGCGACGACCCGTTTCTGTTCCGTTTGTCATCCAGATCCAGAAAATACAGAGTGTTACGAGAGACGGGATTGCCGTCACCGTCGAGCAAGACCGCAAAGGCGCTCTCCGTCTCATGGAGATAGTGGTGCACCGGCGGCCGGAGCAGGTGCATGGCGTACCGCGAGGCGCGCGACAGGTCGCCTCGGTAGTAGGTGATGACCCCTTTGTCCACGTACGACGTCCAATAGCCGATGATGGGCATGCAACAGACGTGGCGATGCGGGACCTCGCACAGCCAGGCCATGCTCGCCGCAGAGAGCCCCAGATGGGAGACGTCTAAAGTGACGGCTAAGTCTTCCACGCCTTTGACCGAGATAGACGCCAACAGATAAGCTCTGGTTTGAGCCAAGACCCAGGTCAGCTGATCCATATCGTCGACTCACATACAAAATATACGTCATGGGTGCGAACGCGATCTGAAAGCGGTAACCGGCTTCAAGCTTTCGTTCCTTCCCCTCGTTGGATCCGGCCCAGCATTGCTCGCACGGCTGGATCAGACGAACCGTAGAGGGGGGGCGGGCCCTTCCCACTGGCAATGACAGTGCCGTAGGACGTGGGCCGGTGGACGTTCTTCTCGTTCCTCACGGAATCCGTGTTTTCTTTGAGGTCTATGTTGTGAACAATGTTTCTCTCCTATTTAAGGCAACGGCGGTGCGGCATATGGTTAGTCGACTATGGAGACCTCACGCAAGCGGAAACGCAACGAGTCCGCTCAGAGCAGCTGTTCCAAGTACAAACGATGGCCTTCGAAGTTTTGCAAGGCTCACGGTGGAGGCAAAGGGTGTGGGCATTCCGGCTGCCCGAATTTAGCTCAACGCGGCACCGATTTCTGCATTGCACACGGCGGAGGCAAACGGTGTGCTGAGCGTGGGTGCACCAAGTCGGCGCGAAGCGGCACTGACCATTGCGTCGCACACGGCGGAGGCAAACGGTGTGGGCAGACTGGCTGCCCCAAGTCAGCTCAAAGCGGCACCGAATTCCGCATTGCACACGGCGGAGGCAAACGGTGTGCTGAGCGTGGGTGCATCAAGTCGGCGCAAGGCGGCACTGACCATTGCGTCGCACACGGCGGAGGCAGACGATGTGCGGAGGCTGGCTGCACCAAGTCAGCGATCGCGCCAACTCACCAATGCAAGGCACACGGTGGAGGCAAACGGTGTGCCAAGGCAAACTGCACCAAGTCGGTGCAAGGTGGTACCAATCTATGCATCGCACACGGCGGAGGCAAACGGTGTGCAAAAGCTAGCTGCCCCAAGCTTGCGGCAGGGGCTACTGACTATTGCATTGCACATGGTGGGGGCAAACGATGTGGGCAACTTGGACACCGCTGCATCGTCTGCTCCGAGAAATCGGTGCATTTCAAGGGCGGTGCCTGCTATTCGTGCCGTTCAGGGACTGCCCTCAAGCAGTGGGAGACGTACACGACCAAATGGCTCGATAAGATGGGCTGGACCTGGTCGTACTCAGACCAGGAGCTCCCTTGCGCACGCCAGATGTCCACTCGCGAGAGCTCATGCGTGCGACGTCCAGACTACGTCTTCGTATTCAACTCTCACGTAGTCATCCTCGAGGTGGACGAATCGTATCACAGACACTACGCCGTCGAGTGTGAGGTGGACCGCATTGGCAAGCTAAAGGACGTAGTGAAGATGCCGCTTCATCTAGTACGGTTCAACCCTTCGAAGAGCCGTTACAAATGTTTGAAAGCTCTATTGGAGAGACTATTCCAAGATGT